TTATAAACTTTTACTTTTTGGAGAATTTTCTGAAAAACAATGAAAACATAATATTTAAATGTTTTACTTCTGATACTAGAGGTCTTATTATATTTAGCTTCCCATTGCTTTCTCTACTTTTCACTAGACACAAGCATGGAAAATATCAAAAATGCTTCTAATCTTATCACGGGGACAGGCATCCATAGAAAGGAATTTTTCTATTAATAAACAAATTGAAAACTAACAATTTAAAAGATTAATCTTATATGTCTCAATGCATCGTCAGTGGCATAGCTAGGATGGGGTAAGGGGGACATGTTATCAGGTTCAGTGTTCCTCCTTACTTGCTTGGGGAACATTCAATGACCTGACTCGGAACAGGGAGCTTACTAAAGCTATGTTCAATAAATGTGGGAAGTAGACAAGATACACAGGAAGGGTATACGAAACCCTTTATTTTTCTCTCTTTACAATGATTTCCGGACTTCAGGAATACAGAGACCAACCACTTGTGGTCTGAACGTAAGAATATAAAAATATTAACTAAATTCTAACTAAACTAACTTTGGATTAATAAACAAGGGTCCTACTTGAAGATTGGCCGTATATTAACAGAAAGGCCGTATGTAGTACAGAGAACTGCTAACACTACGATACGTTTAAAATTATCAAGAGGATTAAACCTCTGGCCTTGAAGGCAACCAGCAACCGAGTAAAAACTGCTAAGGCAAGCGGCCTGCTTCTAACTAACTCCTTCCTCTCTCTCTCTTGCTTGGCAAAAGCCACAACTTAAGTACTTGGCGTTCGCAAGACAAATTTGCATAAATAAGTTAAAGCTTTTAATTCTGGCCGGAAAGTAGAAAATAAGAAGTGATAGTAAAGATTTAAAATAAAATAAACGTTAGTAAAACTTAAGATCCTTACAATGTGTCCTCGGGCGCCGAAAACCCTAGCTACTGCTTTTGCATCATACACAGGGCTGGTGCTACGCATTTTCCCACTTGATGCAATCTCTAAGGATCCTAAATTCTAAAATTTTGGCATTTCTTGATTTTGTTGCTCGGTGCGTCACTAAATTCTAAAAATTCTGCTACATCGGCTCTGTAACTGGCCCTTACCGTATATCATTTCATATTTATTCTGAATGTTCACATTACTAAAGAAATAAAATTAGCATCTTTTCCTATAAAATCTACGTGCATTTATTTATTTATTTATTTATTTATATTTTTAGAATAACAGAAATCTTTAATTAAATCCAAACATTCTAAAAGGAAGAGGAAACGTATTGAAAAAAGAAAGAAAATTATTCTTCAAAGATGTGTACAGTTATTATTATGTAAATTAAGCAGTTCAGTCTTTGCTATAATTTTCATTTTCTGTTTTCTCACCAGAATGAAAATCACCTAGATAGTTTTTAACGTTTTGGAGTTGTAAGGCAGAATTCGTTTCTGGCCGCCGCTTGCACCGTGCATTAGTTCCTATCAGCTCTGATAATTTTTAATTATTCATCTTTGCGTTATTGCAGCCGATATTTGAATTTGTTACGAGATAACTAGGTTACGACGAATTAGGAGTTTGTTAAGGCGTGTTACTGAGCCAGCTTAGATTAAAATTAAATTGTGTGGTCTTTGACCGCTAGTCCGCATTTTTAGTTTGAATTTGATTGTTACTGTTTAATTGGATCCCCATAAGCTGTAGCTGATTTTGCTAGCATAAGAACATGCCTTTATGTTCTAAGGTCATTTTAAAAAAGAGGTAGCTTTTTTTTAAACCTTTATCCGACTTTGTAGTTACCTTTAGACATAGCAATAATTTGCTTCATGCCTATCAGGGGCTTTGGACTATTTAACGTTTACCAGATCAAGTAAAACCTCATAGGTAGTACTTTATCGTGAGCTTGCCAAGTTAGGAGATAAAACACGCAAAAACTAGTGAGAATATTGGTTTGCATTTTGAAAGAAATTTCTTATAGTTAGAAAAGATGCTTAAAGAGAAGGAAATTGATATAATAGCCAGAATGTCTGGAAAGGCTTCAAATTAAAAAGATGCATAAATATTTTGCTGAGTACTGTTGCTACAAAACATAAATGTTTTGTAGCTTTTAATGAGTAGTTATCTTAATATCATTTAAGAATCACTTTCATAAATAACGTATGTATTTTAAACTGTGACATGTTAATCGATTGTGATTTTAATAGTGCTTTTTAACAAATAGTTTTAAAAAATAACTTTAATAGTAGCTATGTAACTCGAAAATGACAAAGTACCCTTATCTAACTAGCTAATTTAATTATTTGTAACTAACTGGTTCACACTTAAAATTTATCTGTGCATATAAAGTAAGTTGCCTTTCATTAATCTCTGCCATGGTCACAAGATGCAGCACAAAAATATAAAAATTAACGTGAAACTTTCTAGTGAGACTTAAATTTAATACAAAACAGCTTATCACCGCTGGTGCTTTAGTGGCTTATTGGAATCTTAAAATATATTAACTGGGTTACAACCCCTAGGAACTCGAAGTTATGACACAAACTGCTTCAGACAGGCCAGAGCACAACTAGCTTCCAAAACTTGCTAAGCGTGCTTACATAAGGCTTTCAGGTTTGTTCTGTCAGCAGGGCTCTCTGTTGGCAAGCAGTAGCGGTGGCAACAGCCAGTCTTCTGTAACGAATCATGCTGATTATGATTTTGCTTCTCATTTTAACTTATGCCGTTTGACATAAAATCTACCTGCTATTTACTAAACCTCTGAACTGAGCAAGTACGCGACAAAATGAGACACAAAAGAAAATTATCAATATAAAGCTAAATTAGTAAAACGTAAATAAAATGTCACTAATCTTCTTTCAAATATGTCCAACTATTTTAAGGTTAAAATATTTAATGCTACTTGATAAATTTTATAAAGTTGATTTTATTCACAAAATTTGTTTTATAATTATGTTTAATAATAATGCATTCTACTTGTGGATCTATTTTATTCTTAGAATGGTATCACAAAAGTGAAGTTCAGGCATAGCTAATATCTTTACTTTACTTTATTCAGTTCCCATTTGTTGATGGGTCCTCAATGTTTTTTCAATAATGTCCTTAAAAGTCTTTAATTTCCATGTGCAGAAATGTGTACAGACTCCATGTGCAGAAATGTGTACAGACATGTGCAGAAATGTTTAGTAAATTTTACTAAAATTACCTATTTAAATACAAAATTCGTAACAATATCCTTTTGAAACGTGCCTGATGCTCTTACAACTACAGATGAACTGGGACTGAAGCGGAGTAATGATTTTCTGAGTCGTAGAAGCAAAAAGTGAGGAAAAGTGTAATTGTAGGAATGGCGCCTATGACATTATGGGAGGTCGCCGCCTTCATACGTTCTTATCTAGAAAAGAACAGGTACAGGTAAAGCTAGGTCAGCACCTCTGTAGTACCACAGATGATTGAGGTATCGCTGAACCTAGCTAACTGTCAAGTCCCCCCCTCCAATTTTGAGGGACAGCTCTACTTTCCATGGAGATGACATCGACCTATATCTTTATTGAAGCTTATTAAGAAGTTTGCAAATTTACATAAATTATTTGCATAATTGTGTTATTTTACTGATGCATATGCTATTTGCATAAGCTAAATTTACATAAATCACAAAGGGAGAATACGCCGGTGGTGGGATATAGGGATGGGTCCGAGTCTCCCACCCATCTTCTCCTACCAGAACGACTCGAGAGGACTTTCGGCTCCCCGTGTATTTTGAGTGCCTCCTTACTGCACAAGTTTACGTGTACAAACTTCCATGGCTTCTCTGGAATTCAAACGCTGGCCCATCGGTACGGTAGTCAGCATCACTGATCATTATACCGGCTGGACGGCAAGTAGAAAAAACAATAAAGCAAGAAGGCAATCACTCGGTATATTTTCTGGTATCGTCGCCCCATAGTCTGGGGTCTGCCGTGGCACGTCGATTGGGAAGCTTTTCTTTAGAAAATGCAGAGAGCTAATAATAACTTAACTTAGTTCTACTTATGTTCCACAAACTAAACACTTGTTAAAACAAATTTTAAGAAAATGCGCAGTAAGACATTTTGATAAGATATTTTAACTTTGAACATGCATTTGAATGCGATACTTTCTTGAAACACTCGATTGGTACTTTCACAACAACACGCGAGTTGGAACTGAACCAGAGAAACCATATTCTGAGTCGTAGATGCAAAATGTGAAAAGTGAATTTTGGAAAGAATGACGCCTATAACATTCTAGGAAGTCGTCTTCCCACATGCATAATTACCAAAGAGTAATACAAACTTGGCCGGCCGTCCGCCGTTCCATAATTACGCATGTAGCGCCGTACAACGGTTAGGAAATAACTGTTCTAGAAAATGCGGACAAGGAACGCAGTGGTCTCCTCGCTTAAAAAACATACTTATGAAATCTTCTGTAAGCTTATTGAGATCCACTGGCTGTTGGAAAGTCCCATTTCAATCTGGATATATCCAATTGTATGGGGTGTGTCGCCAGTCTAATCACCATTCACTACGTCTAGCCTTCATCAAGATGAGACTTCTGACATGACATCGGACCATAGGATTATTTTTCAGAAACATATAATTATAATAAATAATTACACTCAGTAGAATTTTAATCAGTCTTTGTAAAGTGAGCATCATTTTTAGAAGAACACCAGTGTACAGGTGGATCTTAGATCTAGATAGTAAAGCAATCAGTGCACTGCCAAACACAAAAAGTATTTTTTTGCCATAAATATTTGAATTTATAAAATTAGGTTATGATTAGCATATATGTAACTGCATGAGGAAAAACGTTTGAGTAAGAGGATCCAGCTAAGAAATGAAGAAGCCTTTATCCTGTGTCTTGTAAATGTGTACAAAGACGATTCCAAAGAACTTGAAAAGGCTTAGATAGAGAAGGAAATCTTTATCCTGTTATCGCTAATTCTTGTGCCAATAGTTATTTTATTAAGTTACCATTTCTTAACCATTTTTCGTTAATTCTAGGGCTCTTCCACAGGTGTTCGACGGCGGCGATCGTGGGAGAAGAGGGAAGCCATGGATTCTCCATCAGTTGATGAAAACCAGGACTTGGGATTCTTTAAAGTATGGCTTCTTATTTCGCAGCTCCTCGGTGTGGTCAGCATTGCTCTGGTCTGGGCCTGGTGTGGGCAGTACTTGGGAGGCTTTGCCTGGCAGTCTGATCCAAAAATTCAGTTCAATTATCACCCCTTCTTCATGGTTCTTGGCTTAATCTTTTGTTATGGAAATGGTAAATTTTCATTTTTTTTTTTTTTTTTTTTTTTTTTTTTTTTTTTTTTTTAACATTCTGTGTATAGTTTTATTATTATAATAGTTTGCGTTATGGTAAATATGTTGCTTAAATTTATGTGCATGTGCTTAATAATATCTTGTTTCACGTGGAAACGAGGAGCAAAGATGGACCTCGAGCAATTATATGCAACATGTAAAGGATATATATATATGTAAGAAAAAATAAATAATATACAAAAGATTAAATTACCAACGTAAATTTTCCTTCTCTATTCTAAAAATAGTAACCTCTCTTTGCACTGCGTCATTTCGGGAATAATCTATGCCATATGATTCTTACGTAATTCTGATTACGTAAATGGAACTAAAACTCAGACAGCCAATACTAATTTTACAGCAATATTAACTATCCAATCAAAATGCTTTGAAAACCAAAACTAACTCAGTCTGACTTGAGATTTCATCCTGAACATTACGCACTTTTTTCCTACGCTTTAGCCAAGCTGCACTGCCGTCTGTCTGCTGCTGCTTTCTTGCTAAAAAGTTATAAAAAATGTAAGCCTTTGGGAATAGTCACATTTAATGTACCGACTTGTGTATAGCTGAAAATAAAACTGAAGATTTAATCTGATTTCGCCTCCAATTTCCTAGTCATTATGGATCAACACTTCTACGCACTTCAAAATTCCTGCTTCGAGGTTTGAATATTAATTACATATATATATATGGTTATAGTATATGAAGTTATATACAATGACTGGGAACTTTTATGATAAAGTTGATCCATATCTTATTACTTCTTATTCATTATATTCAATTTCATTCCTTGCAGCAATGGCGCAAGATAATTGTTTAAAATTAAGTTTACTTTATTCTTTTGAAGCAATATTATTCATTATGTTATATAATTTTGTTACATTATATTGTTAAAGATACAATGGAAGAAACTTTCTTCTACTTTTTCTTAAAATTTTATCATTTGATGACATTCTATAAATTTATAAGTAGAGCTCTCTTTTTCCTTAGAATTTAATCACATATATTTGCATTTTTCTCAGAGGGTGTTGGTCTTATAAACTTATATTTTAAATGCATTATGATCACAAAATATTAGAATAGGTTATACGGAATTAACGGCATAATTGTCAAGCATGCGTATGGTGTAGTGATTAGCACATTCAACTAGCAACTGAAATGCCTCAGATTCAATTTCCCATAAGAGCACAGTTAGTTTTTCAAGAGTTTTCTCTCCCTGAAATATAACATTTTTATAAAATATCCCTTGTTTTATGAAAATTGGCTTTAAACCCCATACTGCTGTACTAAAGACCAGCATTATTACCTAGTTTCACTATCGGAGAGCTATTTCACGTGGATTTTCATTTTTATGAAAAAAAAGTTGTGAACAAAAATAGCTTTGAACTTCGAGAAAGGTCCACAAAGTGTACAACATAAAACTGGCACTCATCAACCTTAGACATGTTATCGAACTAACAAACATACATGTCCTAAATGAATTTGGCAAAGTTGAATTTACGAACACTGACGGTGATGGTATTAAAGAGCTTTCGACATTTTATCAGAAAAAAAATCTACACATGAAGAACGGATATCCGCTAGAAGAATAGCTATATGAATTAACATTGAATAAGGCGTCCAAGAACTGAATATGCATTCGATGCATGAGATTTTCATAATGATTTTCTATGCGGCATTGATTGAGAAACGTAGGTGCTTCCAGAGATCTAGAGATTGGTTGAAGATTTTGGTTATCACATTTAAGACTTCGAACAGATTTTCAAAATGTTTTGAATGACTGACTATAAGGGAAATTATTCGGCAGGACAATACGTAAGGGTAATCAGTCAGACTAACTGCTATCTACATTAATTTTGATAGAGTAGTTAGGCTTCGGACAAACCTGAAGAATATTTTGAACGACTGCAAGAAAAATTGTTCGACAGAAGAATACTGACATTTCGATTTTTTTTTTTTTTTTTCCAGGATGGGGGTTGTAAACCTCTTTCTGAATTTCGGTTTCAAATGCAGCCAAGTGACAAACTTCTACAGCGAAGTAAGCAGGTATTGAAAACGTACACTGAGCGCGCGCAAAGAAAAAAAAAGGGGCAGTTTTATATCTCTCGTTCTACTGGGCTGATTGAGTAAATTCAAATTGCGTTTTTCATGTCTCGAAAGCGCGACTTAGGATATGTATTAGATTTATATATAGCATTATTCTAATATAGGTATTTTAACACAAAATCGGACTTTTCTGAAATGGCATGCTAATTATTTCCCATATTTCGATTCTACCACTCAAATTATGCCTAAATATTTAAGTTTGGAAAACTTCTTAATTTATGGAAACCTATTTTCCTTTCTTTTTGTCAATGTAAATGAGCCGGGAAGTCAATGTAAATGAGCAAGTCATCGTTCATTATTTCAAACAATTTTTAACAAAATGCGTAAACCACATTTGGCGTTATTATCGCTTATAATAAATATGTCAAATTTCAAAACGCGCCAATCTGTAAACTCACGTATATCCTAGGAAATTTTGAATAAAAAAAACTAATTTTTTTAAGGTATGCTTAGAAACACATCTACTTTAATATGATGGTAAAAATTTTATAGGTTATATTTCAAATTTTTTTCGAAAAATTTATAAAATTATTTAAAAACACAAATTTTAAAATCAAATCATAAAAAATCTGATGTATACACATGACTTCCTTGTACGGAATATTAAATTGTTCGTAATTTTCCTGCTTTTCGTTTAAACATATTAAATTAACAGTTAACGAATTTTGAATTACATCTGCTTCGTCGATAGCGCATAAACCACAATAGAATAAATGCACTAAAATGATTAATATTCTACAGATTAAGAGGCCATGGCATCAGCAATTCTTCACCTTGTTTTTAAAACACTTGTCGCGCAATTCTGGCTTTGTGACAAGGACCGTTGACGTGCTGGAAATATATATTTTCAGAGGGAAACACACCTATGAAAATGTATAATTTTCATGTAGACTGCAGCTGTCATAGTGTGTTCTACAATAACCACAAGTTCCAAGAATGCTCTGAGAACGTTTCCTATAGCATAATATCCTCACCACCAGCCTGCTTACGTCCCGTGTATGTATCCATTAACTGTTTTCCAAGAAGGTAGCATACTCTGATACGGCCATCTACGAAAAACTATGATTCATCGGTGGTGTTGGTGTATTTAATTATGGCAAAGCACACTAGGGCTATCTGCCTAAGGGAAGGGATGCCTTTCGTGGAGGACTTCTAAGGAAACTGGCTCGTATATACACGTTACATGGGGAAACCACGAAAACGCCCATGCAGCCAGCCCGTTCGCGGGATTCGAACCTCGGACCGAACTACCAGTGTTCAGCGACTTTACCGCTCGGCCGCTGGTGGGCCTCTATGATTCATCGGATCAGGTTTATTGTTGTCTAAGCCACCGCGATGTTCAAGAACCCACGTAAACATCAGTGATGCTGGGCTATCAGAAACATAATGAGATATATATCTACCTTCGGAGTCCCATATTCAACAGAGTTCGGCAAGCGTTAGGCTCAGATACACTAACGATTACCTTCCTCTGTACTCAGTTGTATTTGAACCATCGGTAGCCGTTTATTTTCCTTCACCAGGCGGGACAGTGCCCGATGTCAGCATAAGTGCCCAAAACCCGGCGCCATCTACTACAGTTTCAGCTTCCTTCTGCCACTTTTCACTGGTATCGACAACAGCAACTCTCTAACACCCGACGAACAGTGTCCTTTCTTAGGATACTCATTCCTAGCTTTCGGACCATACAATCTGGTTCTTATCGAAATCTCTTAAACTAGCAATTTTCCTATTACACAGACATGTAATACACAAACTGAAGCTTCAGGTTTCTTACAACCATTAAATAACATTTTCCTACCGTATCACCTACTATCTACGTCATTCTGACGACCTTATTTTCGTAGAGAAGGTGTTATCGTAATATTTTGGATATTCACTTATCATTAGCCAAGATACAGGGACCAAGATCCCATGATGCATTAGCCAAGGGACTTTGCAGGAGCAAGTCGTAGTACTGGCGCTTGTATAACAGAATGATTGCAAGGCAGTAAGGCGTAATTTTAATGCAGTATTCATGCCGTTAATTATGGGTAAAGTGGAGAAAAGATCCCTTACAATGGGAAACATCCAGAAAAGAAAACCAATTCTACAACATTGGTAAGGATTTGTAGAAGCTTTCAAAAAGTCTAGCAGCTTAATACAGTAAAATGAGTCTAGTTGATGTTATTTTGTATTGTTCTTCAGTTTAAAGACTTTCTTATAGTAATACCTCATGTTCTCTATCTATCATTACACCATGCAATTAACGATGGAGCTAAATTTTTGTCTCACTTTGTATATTGAAAGTTATTTTATGCAATTTATAGATTATTTTTGCACGCTTAGAAAACTCTGCTTTCGGATATTGGCGAAGTCTGTAGATTTAGGCGAAGTTTGTAGAGAGATTATATATATTCTCGATATTTTTATAAACCAAAAATTGCAAATTGTTAATAAAAGGAAGAGAAAAGCATTTATGTAAGAGCCAAACATTCAATCATGAGAATAAAAGGTCATTTATTAAAAATCTTCATTTTGTTTTTATGAATATATATATACATGGAAAATTTCTTATATAAAGGCTTTAAATACCAGACAAGATAACTGACGCAGGATTAGTTGATCAATTAATATTTATTAGTTAGATTATTTTTCACTAGAATATGTAATGGTCATAACTCTTTTTGTTTTTCCTAACAGCATTGCTTGTATATCGTGTGTTCCGTAACCAACGCAAACGGACGCTGAAGCTGCTGCATTTAGGACTGCACACTCTCGCTTTCGTATTTGCCATTGTTGCACTGAAGGCAGTCTTTGATTCCCACAATCTACCAGCGATACCTCTTGCCAATCTCTACTCTCTTCATAGCTGGCTCGGAATCACAGCCGTTGTTCTCTTCGCTATGCAGGTGAGGCTTCCTACGACGCATTTATTTAGTTGTGATATGTTGAGTGATCTCAGTTACATCATTCATGGTGATCATGTGTAATTGTGACAACTCTAAAGAACAACGCTGTGGTCAATCGCGATTTTCCGGAGTAATACCTAGGATGACGTCCACTGTCAATTCAAAATCACGGTGAATCTCAGGCAATTAAAAAAAAAAAAAAAGAATGTCGAGTAATCCATGCTATATACCGTATGTTCATGAATACCACGCGCCACCGAATAAGAGGTGCACCCGACTTTTTCGATGCACCAAAAAAGAGTCTGCTAATATAGCGCGCATATTTTCATCAAGCCCCAAAATTGGTAAAATGTTCAAATCATCTCGATCACTTAAGGCCCATATCACACAACGTTTGTTTCACTCGAACAACTGTTTCGGACAATTTTTTCACTAGTTTACTATTAAAAGAAAGACGTGCGACTTTTTCCTTCCTTTCCAAAAAAATTGCAACTTGTTCATTTTCAACCAATCAGCTATCAGCTTGTTTATAATGGGGAACCAATTTCCCCTGTGTTAACCCCAAAGCGATCTATGGTGATTGGTTGTTGTGACAAAGCAGAAAAATTGTTCCAAACAGTTGTTCTTCCGAAACAAACCGCCGTGTGATAGCAGCCTAAGAAGTCTCGTTTTATGTTTCTTTATTTCTAGCTTCAATCAAACTATCGTACGTTCTTCTGTTGTAGCGATATAGACAATGAAGGAGCACATGCTTTACTTTTCCTGGTGATATCGGTTTTTTCTTTAAGCGCTGCAACTTCAGCCCCAAGCAAGCGGACACTGGCTCCAACTGAAATGGCAAAAACAAACCCCTGCCCCCTTTCTTCTTGGAATTAGTTTGTGTACCGGAATTTTTCCTTCCTTATCAGCGGCCCACCAGCGGCCGAGCGGTAAAGTCGCTGAACACTTGTAGTTCGCTCTGAGGTTCGAATCCCGCGAACGGGCTGGCTGCATGGGCGTTTTCGTGGTTTTCCCCCTGTGTAACTGTATACGAGCCAGTTTTCCTTAGAATTCCTCCACGAAGGCACCCCCTTTGCTGCCCTCGAGGCTTTGCCATAATCACACACACACCTTCCTTATCAGCTGAGCTAAAGTGCTGCTTCTTAGTCCAATGCTATCTATGACTATGAAGCCAAGTTCGGCAAAAACCATTCAGAGAATAATAGTTTGGTTGAAATTACCGATATATCCCCTACAAATTCCCTGGCCAGGATTTATTATTTGGGATGGTATAATAACATCATATAATTTTATATTTTCTGGAGATACCGTAGCTTCAAAAAGAAATAATTCATGCCGGCCAACTTGCGTTTATTTGGCCTATATTGCCTTTTTTCGCGTAAGCCGCGCACCTCGATTTTTCCGATTAAAATTATCAAAAAAAAAAAAAAAAAAAAAAAAAAAAAAAAACCTGCTCGTGGTATTCGTGAACATACAGTAATTAACAGTAAAATAATATTAGCGGTGTATTTGTTTCGCAGCAGTTTAATTTGGAGAATAAATTCATTTGGTTATAAAAATCATGTTAGCATTCAGAACAAATAGAACGCACTGTAAATAATGGAAAAGTGCATATAACTAGGAATAAAGAATAAGTTGTAAATGGCATTATTTAGAACAGGATTTTTCCTTACCGAATTACTAGCGGGCCGCAATTTCAAATTTGTTTTCGGCCATGGCCCATTAGCTTGGCAACAATTTTTTAATGCTGCCATATGTACACTGCTGGCCATTAAAATTGCAAATCGTGAAGGAAAGCAAATGCAAAAAAGATATTTATTAAAGATATTTATTGCACGTAAGCAGTATAACATGGAGATAGAATGATTAAATTTGTGAACGTTTTGGACGTTTACAGGGGTGCGAAATTAGTAGAAACGGCCCTTACATTAGGCATGGAGTGAAATTGGTCATGCTGCTTTAAGTCTGTGCCACACTTCATCAACCGTATTAGCTGGAGATGGGTGGCGGGCTAGTTTCTCAGCAACCCATGATCAGATGTTTTCAATGGGTAACAGATCTTGAGATCGTGCTGGCCAGGGCAACAATCGAATACCCAGTGTATCGAGGAAGGTCAGAACATGACGTGCAACATGTCATCTTGCATTAATCTTGTTGGAAGAACTTCTTTCTTTCATGTGATTTTGACGTTCGTCAGATCATTCCTTCCTGGTGTTGCAATTTTAATGGCCAGCAGTGTATTACCCAATTCTGGAGGGAATCCAAAATTTTATTTCTGTGTTTAATGATGCGGAAAAAATTATATGTTGTCTGATTTTCATGCAAGTGTGATGGTAGTATTTTATTTGTGTGATTAATGATGTGTAAAACCTTTGTTAAGTATGGAAAGTTTAATATTTGAATTCTGTTAGCGACCTGAGAGAAAATGCCTTTGGCATAACAGCAAATGCTGAACTAGACTTCCAGAGCGTCTGTAAAAATTAATTTTTTGGCATGTTTCTGTAGATTTAATAAATTGCGTACAAAATTGTGGCAAATAAAATAATAAGGAAAAATTTCGTTATGTTAAACAACAGGTATGAACGCATTAGCGCAACCACCTTGACGCAGTCTGACGGTTTTTGCAGAACACAAAGATGATTCCGCGAATTTTCGGATTGTAATTTACGGTAGATATGGTTACTTAAAGAACTGTTATGTTTATTGTTGCCAGGGTTTGGTGACGTCTGAAAATTTGGCGATTTTTACGAAGTTTTTTGCGATAATACGTAAATATCAAATAACAAAATGAATTTTTCAGCATGTTTTAGATGATCTTATTTTAAATTGTTTACATATTATTATTAAATACAATAATTAATGTATGTATTAAGTTCTGTTGAATTAAATGTATTCTGTTTCAACAATAAAGTTCAATAATTACGTGTATAAAAAAGCTTAATCTGTTTCTCTGTTTTAATTTTAGTATTTTTTTGGTTTTGTGGCTTTTCTGTACCCGGGACTGACTAAGATTTGGCGAGGAAAATATTTACCACTTCATGTGTTCTTCGGATTAGCAATCTTCATCATGTGTGTTGCTGCTGCGCTCATGGGAATTACAGAAAAACTGATCTTCTCTCTGTAAGCATTATTCTTAATTTAAAAAAAATTGTCTTGAAATGTGTAATAATAACAAATGAGTTGTTGTACGAGGGTGCGCTTTGCATTAAAATTCATGCCATGAATTGGTAAATTTTAGCTCAACATTTTGTCAGTAATTAGCGCTGCATTATTATCCTACCTTTTCGATAGCATTTAATGAAAAGAAGCTTACTTAGCACACAGTTTGTTCCTTATTTAATGCTTTACACTACCAAGAGTTCAGTACGTAATTCACTGCAGGAAATCCCGTTCTGTAAGTATGTAATCATGCGATTCACCAATGTGTTGAACATTTCTTGGTCTAATAAACAACTACACTCATGTCCATAAATTAAGGATAATGCAAAATCAGGCAAAGGAAGAGTTAGAAGCAAAACAAATTTGACTTATTTGTAAAGCTTATTTATTAAACATAAGGTAAAGAGAAAAAAAGATGCTATATGTTTGATATTAGTAAAAAAATTAGCGATTTTTCCTCCCTGGACCAACTGCACACACACAAAAAAAAAAAAAAAAAAAAAAAAAAAAAACTATTTACAAAAACCCAATATTACATGGTTGGTATGATTGTTAATACATTGTATGTCTCCCAGACGATGCAATACAGTCCGTACAACGCCTAGGCATGCTGAGTATCAAATTATCGATCTGATCTTGGGGATATTACACCACTCAAAAAGCAATGCTCTCCGAAGTTCCGGTAGACATGTAGGAGGAGGTTGACGGGCTGCAACTCGTCGGCCAAGCATGTCCCACACGTGCTCTACTGGATTCAAGTCCGGTGAGAATGCTGGCCAGTCCATACGGGTGATATCCTCCGATTGAAGGCATTCGCTTACGATGTTTGCACGGTGAGGACGGGCGTTGTCATCCATAAACACAAATTGTGTGCCCATGGCGCCCCGAAACAAACGTACATGTTGTTCCAGAATGACGTCCCGATAGATTTGGCTTGTCATGGTTCCAATTTGAACATGCAGGTCAGTTCTGGAACCCAGAATAATTCCACCCCAAACGAGCACTCCTGCACCACCGTAACGGTGTCGTTCAATGATGTTTTCTTGGTGGTAACGGGTACCTGGAGCTCTCCATATGAAAGTCCGGCGAGAATCAGACTGCAAGCTAAACCTGGACTCGTCGGAAAACATCACACAAGCCCACTGTTGCGGTGTCCACAATGCATGCTCTCTACTCCAGGCTAACCGCAGGCGACAGTGAGTTGCAGTAAGTGGAACGCATCTGACAGGTCTACGAGCATATAGACCAATCTGCCCTAAGCGTCTGTACACGGTCTGCCTTGAAATTGTCGTACCAGTGGCTGAAGAGAGCTGACGAGACAGGTCTGAGGCTGTGCTCCGCCTGTTTCTTTTGGCAGTAACTGCCAAATACCGGTCCTCATTCGGCATTGTAACTCTGGGGCGACCTGTGCTGTAACGTCTACTCACATTACCATCATCTTGGAATCGTTGCCAAAGCCTGGAGATGACACTCTGGGCAATTCCAAGTTCGTCTGATACTTCCAGTTGGGTAGGCCCACATTTTAGACGGCCGATAATTCTACCACGTAAAAAATCATTTTTAAACAATTTTACTTCTTTAAAAACAATTTTACTTCTTTGCCTGTAT